CAATACTTCAAATTGACCGCAATGATTGACCACAGAGTTAAGCATTGTATCAACCTTTAAATTCTGATCCCTATAATGCTCGTTTTCATTCACAGAATAATATTGCCAACATTAGCCAGATCATATACTAACAATGAATTGATTAAATAAAGAGACACAAAATTCTAAGAGGTTAATTTTCATCAGTAAAATAAAACCAGGGGTAAATCTCTCTCTAAAACAATCAGCCTAAAGAGCAATGGCAAACTGCATTCTCCATAGAAACCTAGAACAATATACTAATGTTTAGCCTTATGGGTGGCTGCTCTTGCAAATGGGGGTAGTCTGTTATCAATGGGTTGCTTGAATGAACTGAGTCTTTTGGGGAAAGACTGCAAATCAAGTACTAAGCCCTCCCTAAAAGCCAATCCCGCTGTCTGTGACAGCAGCAGTTACCAACGAGGAGGAGGGGGGGGGGTAATTTGTGAACCAAAAAGGAGCGGGAAACAGAAGTGAGAAAAACAAGGGGGGTATGAAATGGGGAGGGAGACTGGCAGAAAAACAAGACATCCACATGATAACGAAACAACCAAGCCCATTTCAAATGTCCTCATATATACTCCTGAGACATTCTTTATGAAACAAGTACAGTTCCTTTTAAGTGAAGAAAAGCCCACCTCCATCAGGGCTGCCTTTCATACCTCTCCGGCATCTCAAAGCCCACCTGTTTAGAAAGTGCGGTGTGACAGGTGGAGGGTGGGTAAGTGCCCCCGCGGTGTATTGTACCACGTAGTTTTCCAGTAAGCTGCATCTCTCAATATGTCATGTCTGCATATGTGTACAGTTGTGGTCACCAAAGTAACAAATTTCTATGATAAAGGGAAAAAGTAGGCATACTGCTGTACTGGGAGAGGAAAACCTTGATACAAGCAACAATGTGATTAAAAGACTGATTATGTTCATTCCCATTCTTGCCATGAGTTAGACAAGAAAGATTGTCAGCCCCTCTCATGTCTGTAAGATGAATATGAAGCTGTTAGCTTAGCCTTGCGTGAAGACTAAGAATAGCTGGAAACATCTCATCTGACTCATAGCAAGAAAACAAACAAGAGCATTTCCCAAAATATAAAACTATTTCTTTAAATGCTGCCTTGCCACTGAAACCAGGATCACTTACTAATAACTGAACTCTATAGTGAAAAAGGATATGCAAGGAAACTGCTTCTCCATTTAAGGATATGAGCAGCTATGAGGCCTAGAGAAATATTAACAAAGTTAAGCTCATATTTGAAAATTCTGACTAGCACTGGCTTTGTAATCGAACCATAATGTAACATCACATCAATACCAAGTGGCAAGGTGTTTGTGAGTATAACACAGGGTTAGCACATCAAAATGGTTTTGAATTGCTTCGGACTCAAAAGCCTTACACCCATTATATCCCTTGTGCTAAGCTCTTCAGAGCCCAGGTTTCCATGCTACATGTGCTGCTACTCAGACTACTACAGGGGAGAAGTGTGGTTGTCAGTTTTTAAGTGTTCAATTCAATTTGCATTTTCTCACACAACTCTCTGAACCACTGACTGACTAATGAAGGCCCGCCTTTTAATCAGTCAGCCTGATAATAAAGCTCACTGGTTAGCCTGTGGTGGTTAGTGACAGGACAATGGGAACCAGCACCAACAACATTAAGACCCTGAAGTGAATAACATGGACAAAACGCAAAATTATATAGCAAACTGTGGTTCTGTCCGACTATATTAATGCATCAGTGTCTTCCAATGTGAACGTACCAACCACACTCAAAACCACTTAGCATAAGGATGCTGTGTCTGATGTGTATTCAGACTGCTGCAGAATACTGGTACCAGGTCTGTTTCTTTTCTGGCCTCCACGCTTGACAGTTATGGTGGAAGCAGACACACCTTAAGTTCCTCAGAAAAAGGAAGTCAACACAGAAATATCAGAAAACTAGAGTATTTTAATTACAGGTGTAAAATGTAGAGGGCGACTGTGGTAGAGTGGCCGTCTCCCAACCGGAGGGTTGGAGGTTCGAATCATGGTGCCTGCGGTCCACACGTTGAAGTGTCCTTGGGCAAGACAAGTTGCCCCCAGTGGATAGAGCCATCGGTGTGAGTTGGCGCCGCAGATGGCAGCCTTGGTTATGTACCAGAAACAAATTCCTTGTGTGTAACATACTTGGCCAAATAAAATGATTCACCTTATTGTAAATAAGTGCTTGAATGCCTAACAGAAGACTGTTGAACAATACACTTTTTTTTTTTTAATTGTGACATGTATAATGAAATTTTGTTTGGAGCCGAGGGCTCCAGGCCGCTGCGTCCATACACGCCACCATCACAGGCAATTTGGGGGGTTCAGTGTCTTGCCCAAGGACACGTCAACATGTGGACTGCAGGCACCAAGATTCGAACCTTCAACCTTCTGGTTGGGAAATGATTGCTCTACCCACTGCACCACTGTCACTCCCCTGAGTTAACTTGCACACCTGCTAATACTGACACATAACTGTTTTCTGTTTGACATAACTGTAGGTGCTTGGTTACTGGGAAAAACACCTCAAGGTCCCTTATGCTACCTACTCTGGGAAGTGTGCAAGCTGAGACTAACAGAGACACTAATGAGACAGTATGCAGCAGAGAGTGATCTCCTCTTGAGGAGAAGGGGGTGGGTTAAGGACTAACTGCTGTATCGTGTGTCACTGGCTGATCAAGAGTACCTGGCATTCAGCGGATGGTCACCTAAGTGGAAAGCTTCCGTTACAGCTAAGGCAAAGCCAGGTGGTTTTATGACTGTTTAACTGCCACTATGATCAAGGAAGAGACAGTTTACTGGTCATGAGGTAGGCTGAGCATTTTACCACAAGGGACAGACAGGAGGATTTTACAAGAGATCACAGCATTTCTAGATTTGCAATTTTACAAGAGATCACAGCATTTCTAGATTTATGATTTTTTTAAACTCAGGAGGTAGTGAGGTCATCCCCTAACTGGAAGGTCAGCGGTTTGATTCCCGTTCTCCCAGTCTACATGTCGAAGTGTTCTTGGGCAAGTTGCTTCCAATGGCCATAACAATGCCCTGCAGGGACAGCAGTGTGTATGTGATGGCCATAACAACGCCCTGCAGGGACAGCAGTGTGTATGTGTGCGTGTGAGATGGCACCACAGATGGCTGCCTTGGTTGCGTGTAACATAGTTGGCCAGTAAGAGATTATCATTAATGTTTCAAGCACAAAACCTGGGTATGGTAAGATGGGTTAAATCCTCAGACTGCAGGTGCTGTGGAAGAAGTCTGCTACTAAACAAATGCATTCAACAATTCATACTGCAATGCCATGACTTTAGTCCTCATGGCTAGAGACAAGACCGTGGCTTTTGATGTAAATGGTCTTATACTTGTATAGAGCCTTTCTATTCTTTTACAGCACACTCAAAGCGCTTTCGGCCATTCACCCATTCGCACTACCAAGCACTCATGCATTCACACACCGGTGACATCACCGGGAGCAACTGGTCTTGCTCAAGGACACCTCGACATATTGACTGGACAAGCCGGGAATCGAACCGCTAATCCTCCGGTTAGGAAATGACCCGCTCTACCTCCTGAGCCACAGCCGCCCCCAAAAATATGCCAACCCTGTTGTATGGCCAGAGACAGAAGTGACTCCTTGTGGAATCATTTCATGAATTGCAACTTGCAAATACTTTCTTTACATTTCAGTTCAAATGAGAAGTTGTGTTCAGTCTTGCATGACCAAGAGGGTTATTATTTTTTTGCTCTGATTTGATTGAATCTTGTATCTGTTTGAATTATGGCATTGAAGGTTTATATTATATGTAGATTTTATTGTTTTTATTATTGTAGTTTTTTGTTATTTTCCTTTTCTTATCATGAAACACTTTAACACTGGTTTAGAAAAGAGTTATACAAATACATTTTTACTTGCATATTCTGTGAAATTGCATCAACTATGACTCATGTTTAGATAAAATTAACAGCAAAGACAGAGAAACCCCCTCTTTATGATTTACACTTTCAAGCTTCACTCTTACAACTGAAGCCACCCCATCATCATGCCAGTGTTGCATCCCACTAGTTAATACAATAAAACTTCCACTGACACATTATGCCCGGTTCAGACTAGACAATTTAAACTAATAACTTTAGCCGACGGCTGTGTGGTGTTGGAGCCAATGAACGGTGTCAGATACGACAATCGATCGTTTTATTCCTGTTGTGTGTCATAGTAAACGAAAACCGATGCTGCATCTGGGACGCCTCACGACGTCCGGACACAAAGTGCAGCATGTCAGAGTTGTTTTCATAGTCTACGACGAGGTGGGGCTACGGTGAGCAACAAGAGCACAGGTCGCTCTTTTGTTCACATTTCTGCACATTGGACTGAACCATATTCATTAACCATCACATTGATACAGTTGAAGTTAGCATACTGACTTTAACAGACAGACTTGTGAAGTAGCTACCCTAGCAGGACTAGCTAGCTACTTTTCCATTTTACTACCGGATTAACTAACTTAACTTTAACTGCTACCTCAAGTTCTCCGTGAAGGAGACGACACAAGTTAGGCTGCTGCCCTCTGCGTGCGACCCACAGACGAGGCCACGGGCTTTAATGCTTTCCCGAACACAAGCAGCCAGACTCGGTATCACATACACCCTTCTCTGGGTCCCTGGCACCTCCAAGTCGTTAAAGACGGCACGCTGTGGTCTGTCGGGTACCAATGTGTAGCCTGTCATATCCCTCGTCCAAAATTGTACGACTCTATAATCATGTAATCTGACATAGTGACCAACGAATCAGAATAAAATCCTATAGTCTGAGCCAGATATTAGCAGCAAAACAGTGAATAACCTCGACGTTAAGGAGTTATTTACCTGTAGTTCCGATTTCCATTCATGAGGTCCCTGCCCGGTTCACTTCCCGGATCACAGTTGTCAAACGGTAGGGACTCTTTCTTCGCTAAACTCGGTGTCTCCTTCACCAGTCCACCGCCTGTGCAGCACTGAGTGGCCGAGTGTCTTGGTGTCTGCTAGCAGGCTGTCAAAAGGGGTTCTTCGGTGTAGTCGTTTCCCCGGCCCGGTGTCTTCGGCGTCACCGCACAGCGCCGTTCGTACACCGTCAACGTATCCAATCGGATGCCACTACCACGGCGAAAACTAACTTAACGTTACTGGATGCTCAACGCGACGCTGTGGCAGCGAAAACCTGCTAGTTAGCCAAGTTAGCTCGCTAGCTAGGCTAAGGAAAGTGGCTTGAACGGTCTCTAGGAGCTGTCAGGATATCATCACAGCGGGATCATTGAGTCCAAATAATTCTCTCTGTTGGTTGAGTAGCCACGGAAGCAGCATACATTCGTTTCTACGGCGCAGTAAATGTCTGGGTAGCTACAGTAATTAGCTAGTTTGCTACCTCGCCTGTTGGATAGTTGGAATTCTGACAGATGACGGCTACTTTTATCGCCTTAAAAACAGTCGCTGACACAGCCCCGTTTCCCAAGCACCGTATCTCAGTGTCGCCGTCTTCTGTAGTTTGTATCCTGGTGCCAAAATAAAACTGTCAGCACTGGACCGTGTCCCCCAATAATTGCCAGGATTTGTCTGGTTGACAGATCAACTCTTTGCGAGGCTCCTGCGAGCCAACTAAATATGGTGAAGTTGCCCTGCTGACACCGACAGGAAGAGGTGGGCTCTGTGTTACCAGACGTCAGAAGAATCAACTCCGCCTTCACACAAAGGTAATCCTACGTTTATGAATACATCAGCGGATAAGAGATGCATTTTTAAAAACCTAACATTTATAAGAATATATGAATTCTTGCCCAGCTTTGTTTAAGACTGGAAGCTCATGTTAAATCTCCTCTGTTGTAATCTAAATGTGTCAAGCTAGGTAAATTATTTGTTTTCTGTTCTGACTTGTGCTAGTTTGAAGGCTAAATGCAACTAGAATCCAAGTAACGATTAAAGTTCTCACATTATCATTAAGAGAAAACAGTCACAGGAGTAATAAAAAACAATTTATTTTCTTTAAAAAATAACCCTCCCCAACAGAGATCCCATACTATCACATAGGCCTACAGAGCCAAAATAATATGCTTCCATGTCCTTTCAGTCAAATCTATTGGGAAGTGCTATGACAAGGACTGTTCTTGATCAGTGGCTTCAATATTGCTTAGTCAGATAATGAGGCTGTGTGGAGAGAAGTGGACTCTCCAGTGTCCACATGATGCATTTCCAGGGTGACTGCTATTTCATGTCCCCCTTTTGCAAGGTGCTTTGTGGCTTCAGTGAGAGAAGAACTGCATCTGGTTTCAGTGGTACTGGGGAATGCCCCCAGACTATTTTTTAAGCACAGAATCGGGGGTAGAACACTGGCCCCATCTGTGAAAGGCCTGGCAACTGGTGAGCCAAAATACATAACAGGATAATATTATATATTTATATATACAAATCACCTTGGACACAATGAAGGATCAGTAAAACGGTGTACAAAGGCATTTTGATTATGCAAGTTCATAGACATTATTTAAAAATCAAACTCATCTGATGTCTAATCTTTTGATCCCTTTCATCTCAGAGGGGACCTGACCGTCAGACAAGATTTGAGGCGCTTAAACGGGCAACTGAGGTGGAATTTTGAGACAGTCTCTACAGTGCCTTCTTGAGGATACACTCTTGACACTAGTCACAATATTCATATTAATGACAAACGAAAAAAAATTCAGTCTTTATAACATTACACAATCGAGGCAAAACGACTGACAGGCAGTGGTGAGCACAAGGCTCCTACCTCTAACAAAACCTAAATAAGGTGGCTCAGAATATCCAGTCATAAAAAATAATTACATGCATTTTTTCATTACTCAAGAAAGTGACAAGATGTAAAAGCAGGGCATATTAAGTAGTAGTAATAGTGGCCCACCCTATCCAATGTAACAGTCCCCTACCTGTGCGGCCCATGCACACAGAGCACCAATGGGGACTGGCTAACATAAGCTAGGGGATTGGGGCAGGGGATGCTGCCAGTTAAAAGTAAGAATAGACAGCAATGACAGAAAGTGAAGATGGAAATGGTGATGAGTTATAGTTTGGCTTGGAGGGAAATAAGAGGACAAGTGCATTTGAAAAAGTGGGTCTCTACATGTTTAGAAAGAGACTAAGAGGGTGCAGATGTGTGTGCTTCTGCTTTCCAGGCTATAAGTTGTAAATGCCTGCAGAGGGAAGAGCTTCATGTAAAAATGGAACAGGTGCCAGATAGATGTGTATAGGTATGCAAAGAAGTGCATGGGTGGAAGTTGGTGTCAACTCTGATACATGCTGGAATGTGCAGAATGGTTGGAGCAAGGTCAGTTGCTGAATGAGAGTTCAGCTTTGCAGCACTTAAGTGATCACAGACTTCATAGTTGCCTGTATTCAAATCTACAGAGGAGTGTTGACCTTGCCTATTGCCTTAGTTACCTCTTTGTTCTGAAAGCTGTGCAAGTGTGGGTGTGAAAACGTCAAGGTAGTCTGTGTGTCAAGCCTCAGTACAGACAAGTTTCACCATTTTGAAATAAACTAAATCAATAAGTAAAAAAAAAAGTGCCTTGTATATCCTAAAAGAGCAATCCATACAGAAATAAAAGACTATCTTCCTGTTTTAAGTGCCCCTTTTCCATTGGTTGGCATCACTTTCGGCTGGTTAATAATGCTGGTTTAGGTGCATGGGGTGCAAGTATATTTGATACACTCTATGCAAATGGTCCCTCTATTGTTAGGCTTTGCCTCTATAGGCTAAATCTCTAAGGGACTGACCAACCACCACAAAGAGTGCAGTGGGACTTCTCTCCTGTATCTATGATATGCTACACCTGTTCAAACTCTTATGTGCAGGACTGGTGGCACCTACATGCTAACACTAAGTGCTAATGTACCATACCTTAGAATCCTCAAGGCTGTATAAAAAAATAACATTATTCAAAAACATTAAAAACATGACTGTAGTTCATGATGTTAAAAATGATACATGTACTGTAAGTGTGTGTGCCCAGTACCACCCCTCTGTAGGATCCCCATATTAAAGGGGCTTGGAACACTGGCATCCGGTGTTCGGATGGGTCAAGAGGCAGCATCGTGGTGGTAGTTAAAAAAGTTTTCTGGATTTTTTTTCTTTTTAACGTCTATCTTCCTCCCATCCGTATTGCATACACAGGAGTGTGAAGATAGCATACAATACAATACATAATAATACCCACATTTTTAAAAATTCAACATAAAAAGAGCAATTGTCTTAAAGTAAACGTAAAATGACAATAATAATATTCATAACCATCTACAACACCAGGGACCAGCATGCCCAGGTCCCCAACCTTGCCTGCCACCCAGCTTACATTGCACCCGACCCCAATTCCTATCCCTGTAGGTGGTGGACCCACAAGGTAGTGGCTCCATATAATTTTTTTCAAGCTTTGCCCCATGCTGAGTAATCCCCATGGGCCATGACTCATGGGCCCTTGATCCATGCGGTCACCTCCCTCCAAGGTTTGGCTTCAGGAAGGGGTCCTGTTTTCCCTTGGGTGAGGTGACATAGCTCCAAAAAGTCTGACTCATCGGTGTTCTTGGAATCTCTTTGTCTGGCCCCTCCCCAGGGACCAATTTTCCTTGAGACCCTACCAAGGGATACTGCCCCCAACAACACAGTTTCCAGGATCAACAGGATAAACATTCCCTCCGCATAGGTGGCAATTCTCTGAGGGACAAGATGACAATAACAGTAATAATAATATTCATAACCATCACCTGTCTGACAGGGGAAGGAGCTAGAGCTGGTGCAGGAGGTGGAGAGAAACCAACTTGATATAGTAGAACTGGACCCTATTCTTTTCTGGAGTTGTCCAGGGTGAGAGGTGCTGGGCAGGTGTGAGGATACTCACGAGCCTCTGCCTGAGTGCTGCTGTCTTTGAGTTTTCTGTGGAGAACAAGGTTCCTCCATGCAGCTTTACGATCCTCAGGGGTAGGCCCTGACTTTTGTCTGCGTTTATGCCCCAAACAGCAGTTCAAAGTATTCAGTCTTCTTGGAGACTCTGGTTGTGGTCCTGGAAAGGGCACCACCACCACCTAGGGACTCCATAGTTTTGTTGGGGGATTTCAATGTTAACATGTGCAACAATGGAGAAACCTGGTGGGGTGTGCCTGGGAGTAACTGCCTGTCTGATCTGAACCCAAATGGTGTGTTGATATTGGACTAGATCGGCCATAAACGCCATGTTTGAACATAAGATGTCCAAATATGTGTACTTGTACTAGAGCATCTTAGGTGTAAGATCAATGATCAGCTTTGTGTTTGTATCATCACATTTGTGGCTATATGAGGTGAAGAGAGGAGCAGAGGTGTCAACTGATCATCACCAGGATCTCAAGACACAACCAGGGGGAGTAATGTGTTCGGTCTGGGGGCCTCAGAATCGCTTCTCTGCCTTTTGCAGATGACGTGGTTCATCAGACTGTGCCCTTAGCATGCAATGGGGTGGTTTGGAGCCAAGTGTGAAGTAGCGCCTCCAAGTTGAGGCTATGGTTTTCTACTGGAAAATGGTGGGCTGCTCCTTTTGAGTTGCAGGTGATTTGCTTGCCCATGCAAAAGACTAAGTATCTCAGGGTCTTATAAATTAGTGGGGCTAAAATGGAGCATGAGAGTGACTGGTGGATTAGCGCAGTGGCAGCAGTAATGTGGGTACTGTACCAGACCGTTGTGGTGAAGGGGGAGCTGAGCTGGAAGGAAAAGCTTCCAATTTACTAGTCAGTCTACATTCCAGCTCTCACCTATGGTCATGAGCTTTGGGTAGTGACCGAAAGAATGAGATCAGAAACACACACAGTCACAATGACTTTCCTCTGTCATGTGGCTAGGATCAGCCTTAGAGATAGGGTATGGAGTTTGTTTATCCTAGAGGGGGCTTGGAGTAGAGTCACAGATGCTTCACATCAAAAGGAGCCAGGTGAAGTGCTTCAGGCATCTGATCAGGATGCCTCCTGGGCACCTTTCACTGATGGTTTTCTGGGCACATCCATCTGCTGGGAGGCCCTGGGGTAGAATATGCTAGAGAGATTATACATCTCATCCAACCTGGGAATGGCTCAAAGTCCCCCAGCAGGAGCTGGAAAACGTTGCTGGGGAGAGGGACATCTGGACTGCCCCGCTGAACCTGCTGCCACTGCAACCCAACCCTGGATAAGCAGCTGAAAATTAATGGATGGATGGAATATTCATAACCTTTTGAATGCATGAGGCTGCAGAGTCTGGCTGTGTTTTACAGGTGAAAGGGCCTTGTGTTTCTTGGACTTGGGTGGCTGGCAAGGCTGCGGAGTATGTGTAGTGGGCAGACATTGGGAATAAGGGATGGGGATGAGGTGGTGAGCATCAGCCCACTCAGGTAGAAATGAGGTGGGAGGGGTCAATGGCTGTGATGGTTGGTGTAGCTCAGGCAAAGTACATGGTCCTGAGGGTGTCATGGTGAATCTGTACAGCTTTGGCCAGTGCCTGGGGGTCCCGACCATTACTCTGACCAGAGACATGGCTGCCCTCTCCACTGCAGAGAAATGACAGGAAGACAAGGTACAAAAGAAAGATCAGTGACACTTCATGTGGGGTAGCTTCATCATTAGACAGTGCTACAGAACAATAAATAATTCACTGCTTATAGATACAGTTTAGAGAAGGCAGCCTGTGCCATACTTAACACATTACAATATGAAAATTCTCCACTTGCTGTGCTGTAAGAATTCTGGCAACAAAAAGCATGTAGGGTTTTTCCATTAGGAACCTACCAAAAGGTTACAAAAACGTGTAACACTCATCCCCACATTGTGCATTTGTGTCCACTGCTTTAGAGGTGCGGTCCAGGAGCTAAATTTCGGCACCCATCAGGAGGTACTACTAAAATCAAGTTCCAGGAATGTGAGGGGGGGAGGTGGCGGGTGCTCGCAGGACTATTGCCCATGATTGGTTAAATGTCAGCATCTTCACACCTCAACTATTAATATTAAAAACACTGTATAAACATACTCTTTGGCTTAGAAGTGAAACAATCAAGGATTTCACTTGCTAGTTTAGAGGTAAAACGGGGACTTCAGCAAGTGGACTATGGGCAAAGCGGTGAAGACATCACATTTGCGCAAGTCTGTGTTCTGCTTGTATAACAGCTGCTCATACAGTCTGTGTTACTGGCTAATTCTGTTGCACTAAGGAGCATTATGATTCTTGACTCACATGCTCTACTCAACTGTGCACGTGAGTGTGTGCATGTGCCCCTCCCTCCTCTAAACAGAGATCGACACAGAGAAAAATACAGTGGAAAAGCAAAGCAGAAGAGCCCACACAGCCTGTGAGGTCATGCGCGATGAGTATGGGAAGTATGAGATTTACCGTTCGTTATCTTCCAACAGTAGAAACGCAGCTATGGGGTCATCAAAATTTAAGAAACCGTGTGTTATTTCTTTCATAATCACACTAACCTGTCGTGTTCTTTGTCCACCAGATGGTAGCGGGCACGGAAAGCCACAAGACGAGCATAGTAGGCTGGAGCAGGGATGGAGACTGAGCGTGTACAACGCACATAAGTGTGGCACAACTGGTATGTCAGAATCTGCAGCTCATCAGCCGTGAAGCGATTGTCGTCCCAAAGGACATAGTAATGAGACGGCCGGCTGGTTCCCTGGACACGGAGAGAAAGCAATGATAATGAGATGAAACGTACACAAAAACAGGATATATTTAAAAACAGCCAATAACATTTAGTCTTTAAGTAAATTCAAAAATCTAATTAGCACTAAAACATGTTTTTTCTGTTATTATTACCTGTATTCCTGCATGGCTACACAGGTAGAAGTCAAATTCAAAGGGATGAGTGATGCTGGTGTCCACTGTAGTCCCTGCAGGAATGTTCCCACTCTTCCCAATCTATCAAAAGGAATCATAAGATGATAATTATTAAACATATGGAAACACATATGTAGGTAAACTGAAATCAAAAATAGAAAGCTCACCCTTTCAGACTTGTCAGCACAGAAGAGGCGTGTGTGGTGGCGTTTCTGCACCACGATGTAGGTGATGCCCGGCTGATAGTCTTTCTCCAGCTTGATGCATGCATCTCTGATGGCCAGGAGCTCATAGTGGAGAATCTACATACAAAGCAATTTATTAGTACTTAAGCCGATAAAGTTCACTTCACAGAAAAATGCAAATGAACTAATAAGACACATTTTAACACACACACACACACACACACACAAAAACTCCCATCAGTTTCAACTTCCATGACATACCTGCGGCAACTGACCCTCAGGAACTCCATCTCTGTAAAAAATGATCCTGGTGGGCTTGAATCGAGTTGACTTGTAGAACTGAATTAGCAGTTCGCGCACCATGTAAGACAAATCTTCAATGATCTCCTGCCTGGGCCGCTGGACTCGCACTGTGGCACAATATCTGCTCGGATGAGCATCCATACTGCCTACCACCTGACAGAGAGAAAGGGTTGAACACAGCACAGTGTTAGCCATTTGTTTCCCACTTGTAACACGTATGGGTATTATAAGGGGCTTTGCAGGGGTATCCATCAAATGTATGATGGAGAAAAGATGTGTTATATTAATCCAAATTGTTGCATACCTTGCACAAAATATACACTGGCACTAAGGCAGTTGTTTTTCTTAACATATGTATATATTTAGCAAAGGTTTATTGTAAAAAAAAAAAAAAATTCCTAGTATATTTATTATTCTGTTGTAGTACTTCCTATTTTCATTTTTTCCAACTGTTTATTTTTTAACCAGTCTCCACCACATGATCAAAATTTAATTCTTTGTACATGAAAACCTACTTAGAAATAAACTTGTTTCTGATTCAACCTACTTAGTGTCCAAGTATCTTTAAGCAGGACTCAATAAGACTTATTCAAAATCTCTGCAGTTGTTGTAGCTATGTGCTGTGTTTACACAAATAATAAACATATTAGAAACAACAAAATAAGCTGCTGAGAAATGTATTTTTAAAATAGCACAATACTTAATATGATATGTAATGTAACAGCTTTCACGTACACAAAAACAGCCTCGTTGTACTTTCTTATTTGTACCCATGTGTTTTTGTACGTTAGCATCCCCTAAAGGCTGTGACTGGGAAATGTGGGAGGCTCAACATCAACCATTTATTTTTCTTCCCTCAGATCCTTCCACTGCACTACAATTGTCATTTTCACCATTTTCTCCTCAGCCAGGACTGAGACAGACCCACTCTCCTCTCCCATCCTTTCTCTGTGTGACTCAAGCATTTGTCATAATTGCTAGGCAACAACACAGCCAACCACAGCTGAGCTGAGGTTAAGGCCAGACAAGAATTCGCGTCATTTCCCTTTTGAATGTGAGTCAGCAATGAGCCACTTGTTTCCCTTTTATGTCTCCTTAAATCCTCTCTTAATATGTTTTTCCTTAGTTCAGCTTCATTTACTATGTATTCAGGTGTAAATAAAACAAATCACCTGCATGCCTCTCATGAAATGGGCTATAAAAGAAGGGTGCGTCTGGGCATTTACTATCAATTTAATGCAACAGATGACGTTTTAAATAAAATGTCAAAATGAATTACAAATGTCAAAGTCATCACAGCCCAAGGTGATGAATTCATCTTATCATTACCTTCATTCATTCATCCATCCTGTGGAATTCATCTATCCGACAGTCCAAAAACTGTATTTCCTGATTTCTGCATTCACGTTATCACAACAATCAAATTGATAATACTGAACTGAATATGATGTCATTTTCTCTACAGTGCCTTAAACATTTTTCAATAAAGATTAAGGCTGTTAAACCTTAAACATACCACCACCCATCACCACTGTCACCAAGCAACCACAACTATGTGCGTTTATCTATGACATCGTGAGATCATCTGCATTATTTACATGTCCTTGATATTTGCTGATTTACCTCAGAGAAGCCACACTACACTGGGCCAATTATTTTGCTTTTGTTCATGAGTTTGTAATTTTCATTTTACTTAATGATATAAATAGATTTTGAAAAGTTTTTATGGCTTTGAAACTGAGTGAAAAAGAGACCAAGGTTCAAAACCCTGTGTTACAACCACCCACTGACCTTCAGCAGATATAGTTGATCCACTTTTAGCCATCTGTGTGGCACAGCTGACACAGAGTTGCTGTATTTGGTGCCGTTTCTCCAACACAAACACAATCAGTGGACAGCCTTTCATTTATGCTGATCAGTTCTCTGACGTGTATAAATGTATTACTTTGAGCTGTTAGTGTATCTATACCAAAAGGCACCGACATACCTTGAGCTGCTGTTCCTCTTATAATGGCAACTGCCACTGACATTGAAGAAAATGCTTCTCTTTTTAACTAGAAAGTCAATCATTTTCCCCAGCAAGAAGCTGATATAAAATGCTTGTTTCTTTTCTTCTAGCATGTGTGGTACTTGGTGGTATGTTTATACTACAGCAAAAGTATGTTAAATAATGTGTCTCAGTCTGTCCAAGGAGCCCAGCCCCAGTCTATAAACAATCCTTCAGAAACTTTTGGATAATATCAAACCCTTTGTCTTTCTACAGCCATTACACACCTTTCTAACAACTGTGTAGCAAATAACACTTGTTTCCTTTATCACGACCTGCACTTTCTTTTGACTGACAGAACCAATTAGTCTCCATATAACAAGTAATGATGAGAAATGCTCTTCATAAGTTACCAGAGCCAAACGCACTTCAGTGTCCCACATGCATGAGCTTAACCTGTACACCCTGACAAGTGGCAAGGTTCGGTGTGAGTATCTAGTTCCCTTCGTTTTCCTAAGATTAGGGCCAAGGTCAACTAGTGTTGTTTAAAGAAGGTGTCCTTTCAGACTTACAGCAGTAATGGAGGGCTTCTTGCCATCTCCGGCAGGGGGGTGCGTGACATCTGCTCCCAGGAAGATAACCGGCTGTTGAAACACTGCTGACCTGGGAGAGCAAATGGTGGAGGAGATATAGATTACAATTGCTCAAGAAGACACTGCAGGGTTGATTTTTGATCTATTATTAGTATTAGTAGTAGTACATTTGACAAAAGATGTCAATTATAAATCATCTAAAAGAAGAGCCCATCAATATGTGCAACAAATTCAAAAGAATCCAAACAGGAACTCACCGTTGGTGAGGCACCAGGATGTTGTTGATGCCTCCCAGCTTCACGTTGATCTTGAGGCAGAGGTTGGAGAGGGTCTGAGGTGACGTTTTCACTACATTTTTCACCTGAACACACTGGGTGGCCATGCCAAGGAGAGTATCACCTACACGCTTTACCTCCGCTGAACGGAACAATTCAGACATGAAGAACACCATGATGCTGGAGGGCTGAGGTAGAATTCTGTTAAGTTCAGTTTTCCAATAATTTGTTGTAATGCTTCTTAATGTAATACTTACTTTAGACTGCTTTGTAGTTTGTTGACTATTTTAGTAACTTTATTGTTTACAAAAGAAAAAGGAAGGAAAAAAGATGCATCTTTAAAAATATACCATATACAGGAGTTTTTCCTGGTAGGATGACAATGATGAGCTGTAGTCCAGAATATGTGTTCTTCAGGTGTCTGAACATGGGCTCCACGCTGTCTGCTCCCTGGGCATATTTACAGAAGCATGGCTGGCCCTGAATTGGCATCCCAGCATCCTTAGAGATCTTACGCAGCTGGTCTGTGAAGTTCCTGAGAGGAAACCAGAGAAGTTGGGACAAAATTCAGTTAAGCAAGCTAAGGCTAGCTAAGGATTTTAACTCGCTTAACTGTTAATTGCTTGGCTTGTAGTGCATAAGATGTTGTGTTGTCCTAAAGAATTAGGAATTAATGAGAGTATATGGTACTTTGGGTTTAAAAACAAATCTCTTTGAAGTATACTTTTTCTCTTGCCAACAGGTAAATTAAAATAGGATCCAGTGACCTAATACAACCAAATACATGAAAGTCAAAAATGTAATCGGAAAATTATTTAATGCCACCTTCAAAAAAGAAATTCCAATTGCTGCAACTACTCAGTAGTACTTACTTGAGCACCTCTTCTCTGCACTGCTTCTGGGGAGCAAAGCAGGCAATTGCCCAGACTTTGATCTCAATGCCATTATAAAACTGCTTCCCCCTCATGTCCCACACTCCCTGGTTGGGGGTAGCTATGGCACGGCTCTGTGGAAGAGAGGACCAGGTCCCACATACAGCAAGTTTATGTACACTGCTGGTGTGAAAAAGTGTTTTAAATCGTCCTTCCTCCCAGACTTTTGTGATTATTAACAAATGTCTTAAATTACTAAATGAACTATGCAATTACCCGTCCTCCATACTGCAGGATAGGGGCGGGGAGCACCCTGCCTGTCACCTCAGCCATGTCATCTTTGACTTTGATACCAAACTCCTGGATGTACGGGTCCAGGTTGAAGTTAGCATTCTTCATCTGTAGAGAGTGAATGGCATCCATCATATCTCACTGCCTTTGTGACTTAAACCATAGATCACTCAATCCTACATTTCTATACAGTGTTGATCCATCAAATCAAGTCTCCACAACTCACCAGCCTGCTGATCTCCTCTTGTCTGTCGGGCGCAGAGCGAGCTGTGGCTTTGATCATAGTGGAGGTCTGATTATCTGTCAGCTTCTTAATGCATCGTTGGCCTGCTACAATGTTACACACCTGGGACAGGTAAATCCAGTTTCACTGGGGTGTAATTATCAGTTATTCATGTTATTCTAGGATTTAGTTTTAAAGACAGCATACACAAATGATCCAAATCATCTACAGTGCAAGCTATTACATATGAACGCACTCTATTTGTTAAATATCTGAATAATAAACTCAGTTATGGTATCACAGTTAGTGTAAATCATCCTTGAGCCCTTCCTCACCTCCAGGGGCAGGTAGGTGTGCTTCTGCTCCTGGCCCACCTGTAGACAGGGTAGATGGGGGTACTTTAGCTGCAGGTTGTACTTCTGCTTGAAGTACTGGGCCACTGTACATTCTACTGTCTGCCCACTTTCAAGCTGCAGGGGGAAACTGGTTTAAAAAAAAAAAAGAAGATGAGAAACACAAATGACTGTATTATCTGTGAAAGACAAAAAAGTTACTTTTTCTTTAATGATTGACAAAAGACTCTGGATGATGCATTGATAACACATCAGCCACAAATGTTATAGGGTAATAACATGAATATACAAAATCACTCTATCACAAACTATCTGGTATTACACAAATTCTTAAAGTTAATTTGGGAGTATCCTTATAATGTAAATGTATACATTGAGATAATCAACAGTATATAATGTATTTTAATGTTGTGTACTTACGTCTGGTGGCTGGCAGGACGTCGGGTGACATTACATACACGATATTTCCTCTTCATTTGACCACAGTGGGTCACCTCCACCTTCAGGCCTGTCAACAATAAGTGAGGTACACAAATGTTGACATATAGAAGGACAGACAAGATAATTAGAACACTAATAAAAGAGCTTCGTGTGAAACAATAAAGTCCCACAATCACAAAATTAAAGGGGAAATGGCAGTAATTCATGTATAAGTCTAGGAAGATTTCTGAAATGCATTTGTTAGGTGTAAATGAGCACCAGTGCTTTAGATGGGGGCACTGAGGTATAAAAGCAGTCTCTTTGAGTTCATCATGCATTTTTGGAAGGTCCTTTCACGCTGCCTTTCGGCGCACCTTTAATCTCCTTGGTGAAGCGGACCCTTTGTGAGTCAGTGAGAGTCTTGGGCTGCTCATCGATGTTGCGAATGTCCAAAACCTCGCACATGAACTCAATTACAGGTTGGGCTTTGTAAAAGGCTGTGGCAGACACTAGAGGGAGACAGAGAGCAGCAATAAATCCCTACTAGTCAGAAAAGAGCAACTCAATAAAAGGTACATGAATGTCCAGACCTTTATTCAGTACTTACACTGATATTTAAGGCATTTATCAGAGGCACATTAATGACAAGCAGCCAAAAGAAAGGACAGCAGCGGCTTATATTTATGATATTATATTGATAAAGCATCCCTGATTGTTCAATTGCTCCTGGTCACACTTTTCAATATCTCTGTCCCACTGTTTCTGCCTAGTCATACAGTGTCAGGAAATACTCACTGAGCTCACTGACTGACTACACATACCCTGATGAGCTTGTCTTCAGTGACTCACCATCAATGTTAAGCATCATCTTCCACATGGCGGGCCGCACAGACTGGTGGAAGCCAAACCAGACTTCCCTCCCGCCCCCCAGTGGGTGGTAGTATCCTTCAGGTGGGGAGAAAAATGAACGGCCCACTGGAGTGTACCTAATGTGGAGGAGTAATGAATGTGCAGAACGGTCAATTCACAGCATAACCTCAGCATGACTGCATGTCCAGGAAAGTTGTTGCCTCATGTATGAGGTTTCAGAATAAGTCAGCGTTAGAAAAACAAGAAAATCACCAAATATGGGTTATAGGGAACAGTGCTATCTCTACGTGCCAAAAATTCCTTCTTCTAAAACAGGCAAAAAAGGGGGAGACGTTATTTATAAAATACTTGCTTTCTGACCATTGTAGGGTCAAGTCCTACAGCCAGTTCTAATTATTCCACTACTCAGTACTGTCCTGTGGATACCTTCACACAGGTCTCATCTAACAAGCATCTTTTGTTTAATGACTCTGACCCCTGGAGCTATGATGGTCTGATGCAAATGAATGAAAGACAAGTTAAGCTTGCTAGGCTGTATTGTTGCAATGTCAAAAGACATTCTAATTCTTAGAAAAAGTTGACGGAACCAGGAGCATATGAGTATGTGTATTTGTGTACGTTTGTGCCTATAACTGAGAAGAAAAAGGCTCCTATTATGTACCTCATAGAGGCCAGGTGGCGCATGGCCACATCCAGGGCTTGAACCGAGTCGAGGGGGACCTGCAAGCGGCCGCTGACCAGAGTCTCCTGCAGCAGACGCCACGACACCTTGGCCAGCCAACGGATGGACACCTTGAAGATTCGGTCCTTACCCTCACCTGGAATTGTTACCTCAAAATCCACCTGGAGTGACAGAGGTCAGAGGAGAGGTAAAGAACAAGGATACCAGTGACCAGGAACTTAAATAAGGGCTGTTTATAAAAAAACAAATGATCAGGCTGTGCACTCTAACGTAAACCCTATTTTGACCAGTATTCAGAATTCAAGAAGGTATTTCATATTACAGAGGACTGTACATCAACAGTTTGCCTTAGTGTACAAAAAGATTGCATGATTTTGCTTTTGTAATATTTTGCTTCCATATGCATATGGGCTCCTAAATATAACTATATATCATGGTACATGAGTTTGAATCCTTAAATAACCTCTTATCTATACAAAAATAAAAGTGTAAAAATAACAAGTTGCAGTTTTAGTGGGAGTTATGGGACGTTATCAGGCAATTAGCAGGGACCAGGCTAGCGACTGCCCTGGTTCCAGTATTTATGCAAAGCTAAGCTATTTGGCTGCTGGCTGCGGCCTTATCTTTACTGGACAAAACTATACAAGAGTGGTACTGATCTTATCTAACATTAAACAATGAAGAGATTAGAACACTCAAATACTCTCATACACATTAAAAGTCTCCAACCATGGCGTACCGGTGTCCATATAAAAAAAACTAACAAACAACAACAACAACAAAAAAAAAACTGGTGTTTGTGGTTGCTATTCATTCAGTGATTGTGGTAACAGCAAAGCAGTACAAACATCTACCTTCTCACTCCCAATAGGAAGTGCTAGCACCGTGTAGATGTTCTTCTTGCCGTCATACACTGGCTTCCTATCACCAAAGAGCTGGGGCTTGAAGTGTTGCACCATGTATTCCACCACCTCCCTGTAGGAAGAGACACACGCATCACAATATGAGACTAATATGCACCAGAACAACTGTTTTTTGGGGGGTTGTGTTTAAAAAAAAAAAGAGCAACAACTTTTAAACCGTTTAAAAAATAATAAGAAGAAGAATAAGAAAAAGGACCAGAACAAAAAGAGACACTGGTGCCTGTTCAGGATGCTCAGTTGTGATCAGGGGTAAAGCAGTGCTGAAGATGACAGAACACTGATCAAGAAAGATTTAGCTGGTGGGCATAATATCTCATGGTCACTGGGGAAACGCAGGAACAGGATGTGGATAGTGGGGTCACCTTTCAATGCATGCTGCCTTGGCCCTCATAAGAGTGGGGGATGTGGAGTCATTCTAAAAGGAAAAGGTCAAAGGGCTTCACCTTTTAATTCTTTCTTGGACCCTTTGTCTAAAACCCTAAAGCCAAAAGCAACTGATGCTCAAAGAGCCTCTGAATGTTACAGAAAATTATAAAAACATGTATTATATTGGAATTCAGCTTTTCTGAGTCTATAATTCTGTTTAATTACACACAGGAGATTACAGATCTGCTAGTTTGTTTCTGTGTCCAGTGTTTTTAATTAGGGGAATAAAGCTTAAGAATTCTCTTTGAGAGTAGACAACCTCTGCTGAGACCTTCAAGGATCTGAGCAAAAGATTTCTTGTCTAATCTAAAACAATGTTAGATGAGGACATAGTCTGGACTGGGCCGTGGCTGTTGTAATACACAGAGAAAACTGGTGAAATTGTTTCTTTCAGGTTTTAAAATCAGGATTTAAACAATACCACTGCTTGCTTGCTGCTGCTTTGCTATTCTTGTCAGGTGGTGGTAAATGTCTATCAAAGATCCTAAACAGAAAGATATTCTATCCATTTTACATCCTGTCTTTCTGCAGCGTAAATGATTTTCAAAAAGTACAAGGCCATTCATCATCACCACCACCACCTTTATTTTTTCAGGGGAAAAAAAAAAAACATTTGAGAGACAGCTCTCATTCTCAGTGGTGCCCCAACATACAATTCACACCTTCAAAACATTAAACCATAAACACAACAAAAAAAATCTGTATTAAAATCCAAAATCATGTCACATTAAAAACAAAATATATACTCAAAATCAATGTAAATAAAATCATACTAACATAGTGTCCAAATCATCTGTTACACTCACATTTAAACTGTAAAATACTATATAAAAGCAATTTAAATTGAGATAAAGGAATGAGAGCAGCCAGGTTAGGTTGTTTTCTGCAAACTATTCAATTTTTGCAGGTCATAGTAACAGAAGGACATCTTTCCCATCCAGGTCATAGTAAGCTGAAAAAGCTTGAAACTGGACTAGGTTTTTAGGTGGAAGATGTTTCACCTCTCATCCAAGAGGCTTCATCAGTTCTGCCTGACTGGCGTTGAGTCCGAGATATTTATCCCCATTGGTGGTGTTTCAGTCCTTTGATGCCCAACAAGTTTTTTCGGGTTGCAGAACAAGATAATCTTGTGAATGAGTCTGGTATGTTAATGGTTTATAACTCAGGAGAATCTGTGGGAATCAGAATCTGTGGCAGCAGCTGGGCTGAAAAACAGCTGACCAATAATTTTACTCGGCCCAAGTAAAACCACTGATTGGCCTATGTGTCTGTCAACCTACTTCCTACTTGCACTCAATGGATTAGCCAGTAGTGGCAGCCAGATGTTACCACTGTTTACAGCTAAAGCTAGTGAGCTATGGCAGAGAAGGTACCCACAGCAGTTTTCTTTCACAAAGGCCGCTGTTACAGGCCAGGCCTTCCTCTTTAAGACATAAAGCCTTATAGGTAATAATGTTGTTGTTGTCGCCAGAAGCTGCAACCTGTATGCGTAATATGAGAGCGAGAAGACCGCTACATGGAATGGACATCTTTTACATGCAGTGAGACAGTAGTCAGCTCTAAGTGTATAGATAGGATTGTAATGCAGTTAACTGGGCATCAAGGCCACATGTAGTGTTTGTATTACCATGACAGAATAAAGCCTGCGTTTTGAACGGTGTTAGCTGGCCTCCTCCTTCACTTCTCCATGCTGGAAAAGCCCGGACTTCTAAGGCTAGTTACCGGCTACGAGCCAGGGCTAAACCAGTTTAGTGGAAAACACATGAACCTGCGGCCCCCAGCTACGGCTCAGTAAGTAAAAACCACAATTACCATTGGTGTGGCTTTTGAACGATGCTGACAACTGAGAGAACAATAGGGGCTGAAAAGTGATGCCATGGTGGCTGTATTTCACAGTGCTATAACCAGATCTAAAGCCAGATTGACATGGATTCAAAATACCATTACTAATTAAAAATATATTTACCTGATTTTTAACATGCCTCTCCAATATTTTAGCCAGAGAGGAGAGTTTAGATATAGGGTGAAAGTTATTGGTTCAAAGACCAGGCCACTGTGAATATAAGTGACAAAAACAGTCTGCAACATAAGATGGGCTTTAATGTTCCACAGCTGCCTCTCAACACCACACAAACAGCAGTTGTGGAACATTAAATCCCATCATCTCTTGCTGACAGCCACCTCACAGTCACACGCTTAACACTACAATTTCAGTGTGGAATGGAGAGCAGAGAACATTGTGAGCAAAAGGGGAAAGTGACATTCATGCCTGCATCAAAGAATGAATTCTCCTGAAACAAACATGATGAAACATATGTATTTTGTGGCATGTTGCCATTTCCCCTGAAAGGCAGACAAGGCAGTCTAAAAAAAAAATAGCTTGCTGGAGAGCCATGGCTAAGTCAGCAAGGCCAACAAACAGCAATTTTCCCCCTGAAGTTCTATTTGTCACTTGGATTAAAGTAATACATGTGACAAATAATATGAAAGCCTTTTGTTTATTTACTTATTACAACTTGGGAAAAGAAGGACAGGGACAGTAAAAAGTAGGGATTAATAGTTTCATGGATAAACAGTTAATACTGAAGCTTGCAAGCATGTAGCAAGTGACTAGACCTCCTGAAAGACTAAAAGATGGTCTCTTCACAATAAACAAACAACTTTAATCTTTTTTTTTTCCAATAAATCTGCTCCATTCTAATTCTTGTAAACTGTAAGATGCTTATTTTGCTCCTGTATTCATGTAATTTTGATTGTAAAGCCACTTACAGTATTTGAACTTATATCCTTAAAACCATTCTCAAATATGTGACTTCACCTAGATTTTGAAACAACCATTTTGACTGAACCTGCATCAAACAGCAAATGATTCAGCCACCTAATACAAGGGCTTCTTCGAGCACACTCCACAGTATAAACACCAGCCAAGATGAAAGGGTCACAAAGTTAGATTCACTTTTGACTCCACCATCTGTCAGGTTCGGTCACTTGGGCACAGCCATGACAGGAAGAGAAGGCACCCTACTGCTGAATATAATCTAAAACCCATGCAGATGTGTTGTTGTGTTTAATTTTTCCATGATTCTGCACAGATGCATGGACACTTTTTGTTATTTAAGGCTGTGAAGTCCCACTTAAATTTTTATAAACTCTTAACCTTCCACATAAAGCAGACTACTGTATATAATGCAATATGAAGCTTGGAAACATTAACCGCCTTAACTCGTATAATATGACACCCCAACTCAGGATTTGGAATTTAAAAATAAATAACTATTGTTACAAAGAATTACATTTAAATGTCAGTAGCTGTGCCGCTACCTCCAGAAAGAGTGAAAACACTGTGATTACAAGGGGCTGTTGGACTTTTGTTATCCAGTTTCAGCTGTTCCATACAGCAGGCATTTCTGCTACTTGGTAACTTTCTAAAATGCAGGCCTTGCTATAACCTGTTGATAACTGCATATGTCACATGACTTCTGACAAGTACTGATATTTCAGATTAATGTGGGATATCACAGACAACAAAGACAAAAAAACATTGTGACATTACCTGTTGACTCGTCGTGGGCACTTGTCAGGCTTAATGTCCACCTCGTAGTGGTAGACGTCCATCTTTGGGATCTCCACCTCGAAATAGTTGGCCAGCAGCTTGATGGGCTTGCCCACAGTACCCATGCCTGGCCGGCGCGGGGCATGGAACACCTGCTGCAGAGGTGGGGGGAAGACCCCCATGGGCACTGGACACAGAGGAGGTGAGGGGCCATTGACAAAGACAGGTAATGGCGAAAGGGAAGTTCAAAGCATAGAAAACAGGAATGAGCAAATTGGATGTGCACAAAGCAACAACAAGGACAAGCCAAAGCAGCGGAAGGACATGGACAAAGTAGGTCCAGAAGAGAAAAACAACAGTTAAGTGAGGATGTGGCAAAGGAAGTGGTTGTGAACAGCAGAGGACAGGACGAAAAGAGAGGAAAATGTGGGCACAAGTCAGGAAGGAAGCGTAGGCATAGGCCACGAGGACATGATAGTTGGATATGAGAGTGAGTTGCAGGAACAGGAAGGCAGGAAGAGGGAGAGAGAACATAGGAAAGAAGAAGAACAATGTGAAAGTAAAGGTTAAGTGGTGATTTGTGCATTGGGGAACAAATGGAAAGGGAGAGAGAGAGATGTTGTATAAGTAAGATAACGGGTGATAAAGACAAGAAGGGGCAACAACCAGGTTAGGTCAAATGATGGACAAGGGAGACAGGGGTGGATGAGAAAAAGGAAAAGAAAAGGAATACATTACATTACAATAATGCTTCTTTACATAGCATTAACAGAAATATATTTACAGCTTTACACAAAGTGGTCAAAAGTTTCAAACTCCATTTATATTCCATATTTCTAACATGTTAGTAGAAATGTTTAACATTATTTTTTTCAGCTCCCATTGCAACAAACATCTGTTTTGTAGTATAGAATTTTAATAAATGACTAATCATTTAAGTAATGTATCCAGCAAGCATGGCAAACATGTTCTAGTCCTATTAAAATGATTTTCTGCTTCCTTCCGTTGTAAATTGAGTGTCATGGGGTTTAGGACTGACAAAATCAATTTTTAAGCTGTCACAGAAGGTGCTGAGAACATGTGATGACATGTGAGAATAATAATCACTGTTTGCATGTTTTGCACTTAAAAAGCCAAATTTCTTCCTCTAACACACACTTCATATATCAATTATTTTTCAGTGGGTTAAATTTAGCATGGGTTTGTATGATCTAGGCCTATACAGGAAGTAGTCTACAGTGTACAACTGGAGCCTCACTGACCAGTGACTATCAGCTCTTCTAATCAAGTCTGAGCCAGTGAGGAGTCTAATACAGAGAGAGTTCTAGACTGGGTGTTACATGTGAGCCTAGCTGTGACTCCTGCCTGAGAGGGGCCCTCCGCCTTAACCTATGGGTCCCGAGAGAACAGCCCTCCTCACCACAACAAAGACCCCAGCTGCCCTGCTTCTCCGTCTCACACACACAAACACATGGGTGTACAACAGGGGGAGCACCCTTGCTGCAGCAAACACACACTCACAGGGGGCCCCCCTCTACATTCCCAGCCTCACCATGGAGACACCACGGCAACACGGCATTGTCATGGATATCAGGAGACCTGCATGTGTGTGGGTAGGGCTGCTGGAGTAGATGGGAGGAAGCCGAGTGCCACTGTGGTCATGCTGAAGAGACCTTGGCCTTTTTGGTCCCACACTGGGCATGCTCCCACATCGGGCCAGGGTGCCTGGGTATCCCAAAGTGGAAAAACCCTGCTTAAAAATAGCTTCTTCTTACACGCTTGGGTCAAACATATCACCCAATCACTTGTTCATTAAGCTTTCAGAAAATGCCAAACGACCATGAATATGAGCCATAAAACACAGACACTCTGCTAAGCGCATGTATCTGGACATAGACTCACACTTCACTGCAACACATCTGACACAGACACAAGGCCTGTTTTGACCAAACATATGCTACGTGCAAGAAAACATCTATTTGTGTGAATATTTGATCATCAAGAGTGTGCTGTAATTGTTGCACACTCGCACACAATGACACACACTTCGTCCTCGTGCCAGTGAAGGCAGATGGTGAGAAGTGGAGCCAGCGCTCTCACATATCCCAAGACAATAGCGGTCTTTCCCAGGCAGTAAGACTTAGAACAGAGCCTTGGTGCTGCATCATAACAAGAAGACATTCAATATTTACTTTTTTTTTTTTACAATGACGTAACAAGCAATACGCCCCAGTCATAAGGCAACAACGTTAAAGTTGTGTTGCGGGGTACTTTTTTGTGCACTTTATTTTTGTTCATTAATGGCCAAATGACAAATTTGCTAGTTTCAGGATCCTTTGGTCAGACTCTAAAAGACACTGAGTTCAGTATGTAACTTTTAAATAACTGAAATTTGAATTTGACAATAGCAGATCTCCAGGACTATGATGGATGAGTGCTACTGAGCATAAATACAAGGAGCCATTGAAATGGTAAAAAAAATCTAGCTATAAAATTACCCTTTAAAATCTCTAAATAAAGAGCAGTAATTGATGTTTACTAGGAAATTATAAAAAGTCAAGAACATGAATGAGAAGGAACAGCCAATTATGCATCCACCGTTTTGGCCAATCCAGTTGGATCTTTGAATTACTGGCTGTTGACCATGAGCTAAGCATGGCAATCAGGTCAATCTTGGAAAATAGCACAATGAATCATTACACTTAAAACACAAAAGCAAAGTTTGACAACAGGTGCCACAGGACCTTCTCCATCAGAGTTCAGAATTTATAATGACAATGTAATTTCCATGTCAGCGCCATTTGTATATGTAAATAAAAACATAAACAAACAAACTGTATTCAATATGCTAACCCTGCCTTACAAAACTACAAGGGCTGGATGCAGACTTGGGTATAAAGTCAAACACTACCTAGTTTGTTTTTTAATTGGTCGCTTCCAAACTTCAGTGTTATCCAAGAAAACTGGCAAATACAGATGATCACTGGCACTGATAAACACCAGCTGTAAATAAAAACATGCACAACAGAACCCCAAAATCAAATGCAACAAACACTTCTCAGCATTTACAAGTGAAAAAAAGATGTTCAGACATCTTCAAAAACAGATGTGCAGGTAACACAACTGAGTATTATTTTTGGTTCCACACAAATGAATAATGCATCTGTCTGTGCAGATGTTAGGCCTATGCCTGTATCCCTAATGTAAGCACGTATGGTACAGGTGTTAAGCATTCATTATACCACCTGAACAGTGTGAGGAACCATAACCTGTCAGGGAAGGGGGAGGCTAGTCTGCTGTGCGGGGTGCAGCCAGCTGCTGCTGCTTGAAAGGCGGGCTTCACCTCATCCCTCCTCATCGAGCTTCCCACGACCTCCCTGCCCCCGCGCATGGATGAGGATATTGTCACCGCTCCAAAGAGCTTGTCTGCGGCTATAAATTTGGCTAATAATAATAATAGCAATAATAAATAATAACAATAATGTCTACAGTGTTGTACATGCAGAGTGCAAAAGCCCCCTCCATCTCCCACTCCCTCGACCCTAAATGTTGCGATGCAACAGACGTGGTTGTCACCAAGCCTCCTTGTACATCCCCCTGATGTTAAGGCCAGGCTACGATGCCTCGTCTTTTCAACAGCAGCCTATCTGCAGCCAGAACTCGGGTAACCGGGTTGGTATCATGTTAGACCACTAAAGTAAAAATAAATCTACC